GGCAGAGTTTGTTGCGGGCGAGCTCAAAAACGGCTCGACTTCCATGGGAACGCCGGCTAATGGATCGTCAAAACGGACGCGTCAGCAACGTGAGACGCCGCCGAGGTGAAGGGAGCGAACTCATAAATATGAATAAGGGAAAAGCTCGACAGGATGCGTTGGATCGTCGGGCTCAAATTCTCCACTCCCCGAGCGCCCGTTGGAGCATATTTCGTGGCTATTAAAGGTGTTGACCATTATGACACAAAACGCTAAAATCAATGGTGGCAAGCGTCAGTCGTCTCCACCATGCAGCGTGATAGATAAAGGTGGGGGGGGGGGGTGGGGAGGATGGGGGGTGATGAAGATGTGGCAGACTGGAGGTTAATCGATGCATCATTGCGCATTAACGCGATGCATTGAAAGCGTCTGTGTCTGCGCATTATCGCTTCCTCGTGATGTGTCGCTGGTGCAGTGGTTCGTGCACTAAACGCGCTCCGTGCGCATCGGACGATTTCCGTTTGATACCGGCCACGGATTTAAAAAAAAATGCATTGGCTAGCCATCGACCAAAGACGGTCACTGCATCGCGGTCTTTCAGACGCGCTTCTGCGGCCGTCTGGAACACTCTTCCTTCCGATATTAGGAAGCCACCGGAGCGATGCACTTTTCAATACAGGTTGAAAGCTAATTTATTTTGAACTGCTTTTTTGTGCTTAGTTTGTTGTCTTTCCCCCGCACCTCCGATTTACACGGTTGGCTGCGTACGGTGCGAAAGAAGTTCAACATACATACATGCATTGGTGAGTGAGATCTGAACGAATCCTGGGACCCCCGCTTCACCAACCCGTACTTGCCAGCGTGGGGAAGTATGGTCAAACAAACCACACAACCCAGACGCCTTGCCAGGCCTTCGTCCAACAGTTGATTGACCTGGGGCTATACATAATTATTAGCATTATTATTTTAGAGAAAATGCCTTTGCAGAAGTTAATTGCTCTCCGTTATTTATTTGCATGTAAAATCCGTTTTTAGTTAGGCGCATTATAAACACAAGTGGGAGCATCCCGCGCATGCGGAATAAGTGCGAAACGCATGCTTGTTTGCATATTTGTTGAGCGACGTGTGTTTTTCACCGCGGTACGCAAACGGACGTCTGTTGCATTTCTTGACACCGCCTGTAATCGTTGTGTTACTGATGGCATTCTATTAAAAAAACCCGCGTTGTGTTACCCGATACACGGGCGGTACACTAACAGCACTCTCCCTATGGACCAGGCCAAACCTGAGTGTGGAGGTATGGGTTTTGTTAAACCGATCAGCCGGTCCCTCCAGACGACTGCACCCCCTCCATTCTTAAGGCTGGATTTTCAGAGTTTGGGTGTTTTCGGCTAGCACACAGCCCGCATCGAGACACCAAATGTTGTTCCAGAAGCCTACCTCTGAGTTTCGTGCCAGCGGTATTATTACTGGGGGTGCAACATCATTCACTGCCCCTCCCCCCTTCCTCAAAGACCGCCACCACAGTTGATTCAAAGTCGTGATTTGATTAAAGATTCAGTTGTTGTTTTACATTGGGGGTGAATATACCTGCTTCTAGCGGCTGCATGGGGTCGTATGAATGCTTGAAAGTGACTGGGAAATTTCGACTTTTGTTCGTAACTGAAAACAATTGGAGGCAAATTGGATGAGGCAACGGCGCTGTAATGCGGTAAAAAAAACCCGGAGCAGAATCGATACAATCAACCTCGATCCATGATCCACAAGAAAATGTAATAGGCACAGACACGCCCCTTCGGGAAATGCCACGGCTACATTCGTTCATATTATGGCAAGATCTCTGGCCGGTGATTTCTTCGGGTGTCCGATGTTGATGTTGTTGTTGTTTTATGGCGCTGGTCAAAATGCAGTGACGTGTGGGGGGTTAGAAAGGTCAAGCTTAAATAAACTGTGAGAAGAACAAAAAAAATCCCGTCTTGTTAAAAAGGATTCCACGATATGAATTAGGCCACTTTCAAACACGTGTGTAAATGTGCACCTCACGATTTGTTTTCCTTAAACATATTCCCCTTCAGTCATGGCGCATTGTAAGAAGGTGCGGTCCTCATTAGAGGCCTGCAGATGAATACCTGCATCAACGTGCCATTTAAAACATTTACATTAAAAAAAAATCTACTTGGATTATGTATGTGATAAAGAGTACACTCTACCCCGTGGTGTACCAAACCCTCTCTGTTTACCCAGGAAAGCCTCACTGATTCTCAACTCTTTCAGCAGGCTCCTGACACGTTTTTTTATTTCAGTAGGGGGCGATGTTTGCAGTCATCCCTGGTGAATAATGTGCATGTTAGTTGCATTTTTGTTTTGTGTGAGCTATGGTAGGAAACCGAAGAACTCGGAGGAAACCCGTGCAGAACAGGGGGGAGAATAGGCAAACTCCATTCGGAAACAAAGACTCTACAATAAAAATACAATTTCTGTACAGCGTCTTGCGATGCGGGTTTTATGTAGACAATGAGTCAAACTTGTATTGTATATCGAGTTGTATAAATGACCGCTGATGCCTATTTACAATCTGTTGTTGCCTCTGAGAGGCAGGACGTCTCCGGAAGCTTATTCTGTCAAGTCGGGCCGTGCTAAGTGTTTAGCAGAAATCCCATCTCGCTCTGTCCTGAAAAGAGTTTGTTTTGAAATGGCTCTCTCACCATCGTCCGAGGCAACGGTGGTTTACATGCTCAGACGTGGCTGAGTAAACAAGGCCACTTTCCCTGAGCACAGTCCTTGTGTGATTAATTTCCCGTCTCGAAACAAAGCGTGCGCCTGCTTTGTGGAACAAAATAAGAGCGTGTGGCGGTTGGTTGGGTGGGTTGGACCTGGGGATAAGGGTGGGTGTGGTGGGTGATAAGGGCACGGGCAAGCTGCCCTCTGGCCGCAGACTGCCCTCACCCCCAGAGAGTGCTCTTTAGACCAGACCCCCATGCCCTTCGGTCCAAACATGTGCCTCTGCGATTGACCAAATGGCAGCAGGCTTCGCTAGAGTGAAATCGAGCCAGCCGCAGCATCTGCCGGGTGGGTGGGTGGGGGGGCGTCCCTTCCAATCCTCGTTGAGGCCCAGAGGGCCTCCTTATCCCCCCTTTGACAAAGCCCGATGAATGGAAAGTTGGGCCCCCTGCCCTTTGCTGTCTCTTCCAGAATACATCCCACACACCTCACGCTATTACTTTGGCCAATACTGTAAGGGTCGATGTGAAGGCACAAAATATAAGTGTGTACGTGAACAAAAGACAAAGACCTCCTGTAAAGCCTTAACAGACTGTTGGGGCAAGTGCTGTTAGCGAGCACCCTATGAAGGCCGGCACGGCACACGAGGGGGTGGGTAGCAAGAACCATAACCGGCAGCCTTTGTCTCCCTAGCAATGCTGTTTACACATCGCACCAGGTACTCATTTGATGCCGAGTCGACCTAGGGGAGGCACATGACTGGTTCAGATTATCGTCACTGATGTTGGTGGCCGTGAGCGGGAATTGAACTCCGGTCGCCTGGTTAGTAGCGCCGTGCGCTAACCGTTACACTACTCCCCATATTGATCAGCACAGTTGGCTACGTACGGTGCAAAAGAAGGTCAACATTTATATGCAGCGCATACACACTTGCAGGCAGGGGTGGCACAGTGGTTAGTGCACTTTACTATGAATCCGGTGACTTGAGTTCAATTCCTGGCCATGGCTTACGCAAGTGGCGAATGATATCTGAACCGGTACTGGTCCCCTCCTATTTAATTCGGCAACACGTACTGCCCGGTGTGCTGAATTATGGACAAACTTCCCTTATGATTAACAGCTTCGGGATCTAAATTTTGATTGAAAGCTTTCGTGACTGCAGGGATTCATATTCTTGGTTCTTTCGGTAAAGTCACGTAGAAGGGAAACAATAAAATAATAAAAATATAAAACAATAAAATTCTCACGACGCTTCGGGATCCCTTCATGAAGCAGTGGTTTTGACAAATGTCTGTACGTGTATATAAATAGGCTACGAACTCACAGTGCTCATTATAGAATGGAAACTTTCGTTTCAGCTGATTAGGAAAAAAAGCTAAGTTTGCGTTGCGTTGAGTGAAAGCTTGCAAATTATTTTGGAGTAAAGTTGGCCAGAATTAACAAACAGCAAAAAAATCCCTCGAGCTCCTGCAAAAAAAAATCTGCCTGTAAATGTTTTATAAAGCTCGTGGTTTCTACAGCCCTTTGTCTACCCACTGCTGGAATAAAGTCTCCCCACGCCACGCAAGTCATGGAGGACGGTTGACCATACTTCACCACGCTGCTCAGTACGGGCTCGGGAAGGTCTGGCTCTAAAACACAGTCAGGAAACGAACTCTAGATATAGCTATTGCACCACCTCTCCAGCCCTGACATATAGCCTATAGTCTACAAGTGTATAACTCAAACGTGAAATGTATGGCTCATTATAGATTTCCAGAAATGGAAAATTTCTCTTTCAACGGGTTCCCAAATAAAATCACATCTTGTTGTGTTTGATGAACGCGTGCCGATTCCTACGGCGCAAACCCGGCCAGCCATTGGCACGGACATACACCAACCCGGTTAAGTTATTACCACTTGCACCGCTCGCTTGTAAATGTTTAACACATTTAAAGCAAGTTTTATACGTGGATTTTTATTTTTGCCGATCAAATAAATACGCACGCGCAACTGTCTTTGGCCCGTCCCGTGGCCACGCAAAAACGGAATTAACCGCAAACGCGGAAAATTAAAACAGTTAAGCGCCACCCCTCTCCGAGGGGCACGTGGCATCCCCAGTCCCTGCTATTGACGACATTGAGCCCCGCCGAGAAAAACAAAATACAATATTTATAATTCATTCTTACAGCGCTTCGGGAACGAGTGGGCTCTCTCTCTTAGATCGCTCGCGAATTCCAACACTGGCCGCCGAGAGCTGGAGAAGGATAGAGGGGAGGGGATAGAGGGGGGGAGAGGAGAGCAGGGAGGCAGGGAGAGAAGGAGGGACCTTCTACCCCTTGCCAATTGCTTTGTATTTTATTAATTATTTAAGCGTTCGCTCCGGGCGTCGCTCGCCTCTCTCCTCCGCTCAAGTCGCCAGCGCAGCCGCGTGTCGGGGACCAGGCAGGCTGCGAGGGCGCTCCGGCGGGTGGGGTGGGGGGCGCAGATCGAGGACACAGCCAGCCGAGTGTCGAAGCTTGCTACTTTTTGAATACTGTTGGGTGATTATTGACACCGGTCGGATCTGGGATTCCCGCACAGCACGCCGAGATCGAAAGCCGTTCCTCTTGCTGTTGTCGCAACAGCGCGGCGAGGCACCGCAGCAAAAGGTCCGGCGGAGCGACGTCGATTGCAAGTTTTACGGATTTCATTTGTTCGTGAAAACCCCTTCCCCCCCCCCCCCGGCCAACAACAACAACAACAGCGATAATAACATTTTATTACAGGCATCGCAGACGACCTTGGTACAGGTGTGCCGGACAGGTGTGAGCAGGCTCGTAAGGTGCGTGCAGGTAAGAGAGCACAGGTCCCAACCGAGCAGCTTTGCGAGCAGCTACGAAGGTGCCGAGAACCTCTTTGGCCCCATCAACGATGCCGCCGTTGACGCAGCTACGGCTGACGGTGATTATGCTGCTGCTGCTGCCGCTGCTGATGATGATGAGCGTCGCGCCGTGCCTTGGAGCTCCGGAGAGCCGAGGAGGACCCCGCGGCTTCGCGCACCGCGGCTGGCTCCGACTCTTGGCGGAGGGCGAAGGCTGCGGCGATTGCGACCCGGAGCTGTGCCCGCTGCCTACCGGCTGCCCGGCCGGCACCGTGCCCGACCACTGCGACTGCTGCCGCGAATGCGCCAACGCGGAGGGGCAGATCTGCGACCTGGACGAGACGGCGCACTTCTACGGTCGCTGCGGTGACCACCTCTCCTGCGTGCTCGACGGAGGTGGTGCCGGGGACGGTGCCGAACGAGGAGGCGACGGCGGCGGCGAGTACGGCATCCCCGAGCCGCAGTGCGTGTGCGTGTCGGAGCAAACGCTATGCGGCACCGACGGCAGCACGTACCCCAACGTGTGCAGGCTGTCGGAGGCGGCGCACAGGCTCGGCGCGGCGGCCCGAAACTTGAGCGTGGCGCACGAGGGGCCCTGCGAGACAGGTAACAGCACTGTGTGTGTGTGTGGCTGTGTGTGTGTCTGTGTGTGTGTCTGTGTGTGTGTGTGCTCACACGGGGCCGCGAGACAGGTAACAGCACTGTGTGTGTGTGTGTCACACGGGGCCCTGCGAGACAGGCAACAGCACTGTGTGTGTGTGCTCACACGGGGCCCTGCGAGACAGGTAACAGCACTGTGTGTGTGTGCTCACACGGGGCCCGGGGTCGGCAGCGGGTGGGGCGGTGATGTGCCTCGCGAGTGTCATCAGTGATGACAATAGTGGCGGTGGTGATGATGCGAAGGAGCCATAGACATTATAATGATGCTGGTGGTACCGATGAGCCATAGACATGATGATGCTGATGACGTAGAGGAGCCCTAGACATGGTGATGATGATACTGATGAGCCCTAGACATGGTGATGATGCTGCTGATGAGCCCTAGACATGGTGATGATGTTGGTGGTACTGATGAGCCATAGACATGATGATGCTGATGACGTAGAGGAGCCCTAGACATGATGATGATGATGTTGGTGGTACCGATGAGCCATAGACATGATGATGATACTGATGTGCCCTAGACATGTTGATGATGATAGATGAATACTTCACATTTTTAGCACCTAAGAGCCCATTTTTGACAACGGTCTTATTTTCAATGGAGATATGGGAGACGTGATGACTGGACTACATATATAATTAAAAAATAAATACATACTGTATATGAAGTGTCCCATGTGCCAATTAAGGATTATCCATTGTTTAATCAAATCCAAAATTGAGAATTCCACGTTCCTATGGCGGGCCCCAGAATACATTAAACAGATTCATAGTTCACTTACGACGGAGGAATTCTGATGTCATTGACCCCAGACCGGACCTGACCTCATGAGCACAGTGGCTTGACTGAGTAAGCTATCCCAGTCGCTAGATCATTATGTTACGACATATACAGGCTGGAACGAATGTAGTTTGGGAGACTGCCGTCGTCAGAGCACGTGATTGACAGGCGCTCTCTATAATTGCACGAGGTGGTGACCAGGGTTACAGATAATGAGAATGAGCTCCGATTGGTGGTTCACCTGCACGGCATGACCATATCACGTGGCACAGACAACGCAGTCGCCCAGATGTTACCACTGCTGTGGATGGTTACTGCGCATCATAATAGCTACACTGTTGAGCGTTTGTAAATCTGGGCGTTTGATGGATTGTTCAAACGTCAATTACCTTATTATAAACGTGCAGTTACGCTTGAGGTTTTGAGCGTGTTATATAATGACCAAGACCAGCACTGGCAGATGAATATTTCCTAGATATCGTGTGCGTCTCATCACATTCATAGCCATGGTCTACATAGTCGTTTGTCAATCTAGATGATTTAAAAGTGCACAGCTCTAGTGGCTTCCTAATATCAGAAGTAAGAGCATTCCAGACGGCCGCAGATTTGTGCACGTTTCAGCTTGTGTTGCGCGTTATTCGCCATCGTCCATGTTTCTGCTCCATATGTCATGGCACGCGTGTCTATTGCGTAATTATTGCATGCGAATGGGAAGTTGCACAACTTGTGACTGGGATGGATTTAAAACACGTGCGGTGCGCAACACAATGCAGAGGACCGATGCAGTTATAGTAAGTGTACTTGTTATATGTATACACACACATGTTATGAATACATCGTATTGCTATTATCAGTGTTGGTAATGATCAATTGACATAACCACCTCTCACAATCTTGCAATGTAATGATCCATCGAGCACTTGCACCAGATATGATTTCTTATGACTATACGATGCTGTCATTATTATTGTTCCGTGTTTAACATGTTGACATGCGCTGGGTAGAACGTTGCTAAGTTGATAAAGCAGAAGGGTTCCCAATCATGAGATTATGAGTTAAAATCCCACCCAGGTCCCACCACCATCATAATCAACATTATCTTACCATCCCGCCATGGCTGATGATATTCAGAATCAGAGTATTTTTGTTTTTACACTGGAGAAACCCGATGAGCTCTAAAGCGCTTTTTCACAGATGTCCAGTCTGGGCGGGTTAGAACGTTACAACAACAAACAGTACAATCACATGATATGAGTGCAAAGTACAAGAATATGTAAACAAATCACCAAAACACATACAAATACAACACTCAACCATCCCCATCCTACCATACAAAGCCCACTATATGTGGAGGGTAAAACATCGGAGGACACGGAGAGCACCACCCGCTGAGATGGGGAATATCGAGTGGTTGCTGTTTTTCAGGTGGTGGGGGGCCACGCACGTGGCCTGTAATCCAGCACTGTGGAGGGTAGCCAGTTGAACTTACGAACGGCAAAACTACTCCTCGCCGTAAAAAAAGTTAAGTTAACGCTCCTGGTTTTTGATCGACATCAGATACATTGTGATAGATCAAGTAAAATCATTGACCATTCCCAAACGGGTTGAGAGGTGGCCAGAAATGTCTGGCAGTACAGCAAGTGGACTTGTGCACCCGTTTGTGCAGTTTTCCTTTTGTACATGAGCAGTGGGTTCCACAGAGACACACACTTGAACTGGGAGGCAACACGTTTATTATAACACCCCAACAGGGTAACTGCATAACACACACTTAGTTAACTAGACCCCAACAGGGTTACTATATAACCGGGTCAGACAGGAACGTACTGCCTGACCCACGATGCCGAACGTGACGACCGAAGATCGACGAGACGTAGCCCGGTGGGTTGATTCCAAGTGACAGCCGCGATTGCTCTCGGGACCCGTGCTCTGTGCTGCCGAGCGTGACCTCGCTCCGCCCTCGGCCATGCCTCCTTCTGGAACTCACCAGAAGGTTCTCGTCCGAGCATGACGTGTCCCTCGAGGCCCCTTTGACCCCCCTCGCTACCTTGCGCCGGTCACGTGCCCTCTCGGGGTCACCCAGACTGTCATGTCCTCACATGCCTCTCTTTTGATCATTCTCCGAACCATGCCCTCGAGGGCACGCTTCCATGCCATAGCTGCTCCGGTGCCAGAGAGAGGCTCAAGACTTACAATGTCACTCTTATAACAGTAGCTGGCGCTAACCACTATAGTGACTTCATTTACGTTACTACACATGCTAAACACCACGCGCATTAGAATGGGTCAACGATCCTAGCGCGTATACCCATTATATAGTCTAACACGTAGGCTTTCGTGACCAATATTATCCAACAACTGGTTGTTATCACTGGTGAAACGTCGTACTCGAATTGTAAATGTTGTGGGTTTAACCCTCCAATACACCGGTTTGCTAAACTAGCAACTAATTGGCACGTTTTGCTAATGTGGCAATTCTTACTAATTGGCTGTGTTGGGTGGTGGTGGGTTTAACGACACATTGATGTTTACGCGATCCAAACCCAAAAACCTTTATTATAGACCTATGTAAAAAAAGTATTGAGATTACGGCAGGCTAAATAAATAGCATTAACATAGTATTTATGAAATTGTTATGAATTCAGCCCAGTTGTTGATTTAAACACTGCAGGTGCCTTCGAGCTCACATAGTATCCAATTACACCTGGGCCTCTAACAATGTATTACACATAAACCACGCCAAGGTGTGTGTAGCGGTCGTTGCACTGGAATCGATATATTTTTTGTGCACGTTTAGTTTACCGGGGGGGGGGGGGCTTTTGTCCGTCGATAGTGCAGAGGCGTAAATTGTGTGACGTTCTCAAAGAAACGAAGCCAAATAAAAAATGTACGCTCATTTTTTGGGTTTTAAACACTGCCATGGATAAGTGCTTGTGGGGCAATATTGTGACAGGCGCTCCCCCAACACAGCGGACGGCTCGAGTAAAAGTCCGCAGAAAAATGAAAGGAAATTCCAGCTCAAACAAGGGTATCAATCAAACGGGCGTTAAAAAAGAAACAGGCAACACGATACGCGCGCGAATGTTGCGTTTGCGTTTAATATATGCGCCCTCACGCGCGCGTGTATGCATTCTACCTGTATATTTAACATAAACAGTAAGCTTATACCCATCGCGAGTGGATAACGAACCACCGTATTTGTATGTTAGGGTTTGACTAGTACTTTCTAAACCACGACCTACGGTGTGGAAAAGCTTGCCGTGGGCACAGACCCTCGAGTCGAGATAAATACGTCCCAGTCAAGGGGATGTTTGGGAAAGAATTTGTGTTGTCTGTTCTCGTTCAGCGATGGGTTCCTAACGCGCGTCCCATTCAAAGCACTTGACGGATCACCGCTGCCAGCGAGCGTGTGGCTTGCGGAAGCAGTCTCCGTGGCCTCGTCACGTTCACTTTAAAGGCCTCTGCACTCGGCGCTGCCTTCATGAAAAGCGTTCTCGAGACCTCACAGCAGCCGCGGGTTTCTCCGCGTAAAGGCCGGGGGTTGGAACGCGGCCGAGGGTATTTTGGACGGCGGCGCCGGCGGCTTCTTCTCGAATTTGCGAACGACATTTCGGCTGCCTCGGAGCACCCTGTCCGTGAAAAGTCACACGATGAGCCCAGCTCGCACTGACGCGGGACGGGTCCCGCTCACGTGCGGTGACCCTGCCGAAGTCCGGGCGATTCTCAGCGTGCACGCGAAAGCAAGAAGCGAGCAATAAAGTCCCAGTTTTTTATTGTTTTTCTTAACACAATGCACTGTCATCATTTACATAATTCCCGCCTCTTTCCTGTTGCCCATTCTCTTCCCTTCCCTCGTCCCTCCACCCCTTCTCCTACCCCTACCCCTTTGGTGACCCCGTCAGTACCCCTCTATTGAGATCACGCGTTCCTCAACCTTTGCACGCCCCTGCGATCTCAATCATTCTATTTTGTCACTGTTGTTTTTTGTTAAACGTCTTAAGACAAGGCGCTCCATGAGTATAAAAGAAAAGAAAGCACAATCCCTTCAATGATATCTTTCCACGAGCTGTTAAACTGGAACCCGTAAATACTGTAAATACACACGTAACACGCAATGTTTAATAGTTACAAGTTTGTAACATGCACACTTGTTGTTGGTAGT